TGCTCCCAATTCTTTTCTTTGCCAAGGGCCAACAGCCTCTTCTTAAATCCTAAAATTTACAACATAACTTATGTGTTCAGCCTGATTGATTAAGTTACCAATTAGTAATGCTTATGTGATGCTTATACATTTACTATGATTAATGTGCAATATTGTCTCCCACCAATTAAAAAAGTAACGCTTTTGATACATACCACACATCGATGCTATACGTCGTATCTGCTCCAGGTTTTTAAGCATCCACTTAGCAACCTAAAGATGTCTGTCTGTCACTATCTTGCTTATAGGCAACCCATGTGCACAGGGTAACGATCTCCTGGGATCAAACCATCTTTCTCAATATGTCAACTTCCACCTACTTCGCTGCTCTGAATTGGATTAAAAAATAAATTGCAGTTCTAACATCAATATAATTTACAGCACAGAAAAAGAACAAATTCATATATAATAATAAAACAATTAAAATAAAGTTTGAGCATGTAGAGGAGGAGCTGACTGTAGATTACAACTAACGCCTATCTCTCATGTTTTCACTTTTTGGAAAGCCTGTACCTCTACTGTTAAATAAATATAAAGAATCACAGTAAAACTCGGTTATAACGAAATCGCAGGGACCTATGAAATTACTTCGCTACATCCTTTAGTCGTTTTATCCAGCATATTTCATATATCCCGAGACAAAATGTGATCAATAAAGCTCACTTGAGGTTTCATCTCAGGTGAGCTAAACATTTTTAAGTCTGTATGTATCAGTATATGAGGTTTGGCACAAGTAAAATGACGTCAAGCTCAGTCAAGGAAAAGAAAGTTCAAGGTCATAAAATGTTGATCCAGTTGAATAATATGTATTAGCGTGTGGCGTTTGACACTTAATTAAGAAAAGTGTGGTCAATGTCGAAGAAAAGTCAAATTGAAAAAAAGCTCTCAAATTCCCAACCGTATTTTAACATGGCACAAATTATTTTAGTGTAAAGTGTATTACCTAACTGAGCGAAACGCTACTTTAAAAAAAAGTCAGATCAAAGTCAAAGAAAATGTAAGATAAAAACACTTTTTTATTACTTTGTTGTTTTTTTATCTTTTATTTATTTTTAGCTTTTCTTTAATAAATATAATAATAATGTATTATTAGAGTAATAAATAAATATATATTCTTTTAACTCTGTAAGAAAAAAAAAATGGAAAAATGAAAAAAATTATTGAGCTTAAAAAATTACTGATATAAAAATTATTATCATTGACATTTTTTAATTGAAATGTAAATTCAAAACTAACAGAAAACAGGGAGAAAAGAAGAATAAATGTGCTGATCAAGGAAATGAGTGAAGGATGCAATATTTTTCAGGGGTTTTTTAACCAATAAAACTGCATGCATTTAAATTTACCTTGAATAGTTGTTGAAATTATTTCTGCCTGTAGATAAAAGAATGCAAAGGAACAGGTTAAATTCAATTTCCATAAATTCCTCTGTCTTGAAATACACATGAATAAATAAAATTATGTAGTTGACTTTATAAAGATTATCTTACCTGTTCAGGTGATTTCCTTTGTGACAATGGTTTTATTACAGTATCGTAAAATATGATTCTAAATATGCTGAACATTATCTAATTCTTGAAAACGAATTGATAATTAAAAGGATTTTTATCTTCTTTATCGTTTCATCAAATGATTTTTTCATAAAAAATATTTTTAAATAGAGTATTGTACAAATATATAACTTACCCAAAAGGTACATGTAACCAAATCAGATCAATCATTTTCTCTTAGCGCAAAAAACAAAACAATTTAGTTGCGTATCTATTTGTAAACGGTTAATGAAACACGAATTGATATAGATATGATGTGATTTTTTTCCATTTTAAGATTTATTTTTGATCATAAGATTTTGTCAAAAAGACACCAGCCGTTTAAACCTTTTATGTGATTGATTGGTTTTAAATGGACTCTCTCTCTCTCTATCTCTCTCTCTTTCTCTCTCTCCGACCTTGGAATTACTTCCTTGATTTCATTGTAATATTTTTTTTCTGATTTATTTTTGATCCATAAGATTTTGTCGTAAAGTTGTTTAAAAAGACATTTTTATTTTAGGATAGAAGATTTTGTGCAGCCGTTCCAAATAAACCTTTTATGTGATTGATTGGTTTTAAATGGACTCTCTCTCTCTATTAATTACCATATTTGGTAACAACAACATTATGATTACCTTAAGATTTTAGAAAAAATGTATTAATTACCATATTTGGTAACTTACATTATGATAGCTATAAGTTTATTGGTAAGTATTCATATAATAGAGATAAATACAGTGGACCTTCAGATGCAGAATATTTACAAGTACACACAGGTAAATTAAAGTTGGGAAATATACGCGTTTAATTTATTCTTGCGTTTAACTAACTTTTTCGTCCCTATCAACATCGATATTACTTTATTTAAAATACCTGCCCGGCCTTTCAACTATAGATGAGTCCAAACAAGGTGGCTGTTATAGTATATATTGTCTATGTGTCTATTATAGGAAATGTTGAGTATGTATCTATTTAAGGATATGTTGTTTATGTGTCTATTATAAGATATGATGTTTAAGTGTCTATAAAAGGACACATATACAGGGTGTATGTTGTCTATATGTCATTATAGGATACAAATTCTATGTATTTATTATAGGATATGTTATCTTTGTGTCTATTATAAGGAATGTTGTCTATGTGTCTCTTATAATATATGTTGTCTATGTGTTTATTGTAGTCAATGTGTGTATTTTAGGATATGTTGTCTATGTGTCTATTTAAATTAATTTTTGTCTTTGTGTCCCTTATAGTATATGTAGTCTCTGTGTCTATTAAATGATATGTTGTGTATGTGTCTATTATAGGATACATATTCTACGAGTCTATTATTGGATATGATGTCAGTTTCTCTATCATAGTATATGTTGTCTATGTGTCTATGATAGGATACGTAGTTAATGTGCCTATATTAGGATATGTTGTCTATGTGTCTAATATTTGATACCTATTTATGTGTCTATTATAGGATATGTTGTCAATGTGTTTATTAATATCATATTTTGTCTATGTATCTATTATAGATTATGATATACTGTCTTTGTGTAAATTATAGGATAGGTTGTCTATGAGGAACCGCAGACAAATCAGTGAGAGTTTTTAAAGAAAGAAATTAATCATCTTACCTGTAGTTTGCTGTACTGGTGTTGTAGCTGTCCTTACGTCATAATTCATGTCCCTAGATGTAAGATCCAGCAGCAATGCACCTGTCAGATTATTAGAAGTTAAACATCCCGGTTCAAACATATAACATTTTAAATGTTAGTAAATATTTTACAAATGCATATTATGCAGGGATGTTAATTTATTCGTGTATTTCACTAACGTTGTTGCAGCTACCAACATCAATCATGTTACTTTGTTTTGAATACCTATCCGACCTGTCAACTTCAGTTGAGTCAAAAAAAAAGCCTATTATAGTATTTGTTGTATGTGTGTCTATTAAAGGATTTGTTGTATATGTGTTTTTTATAGAATATGTGGTTTATGTGTCTATTATAGATTATGATGCATATGTGTCTATTATAAGACATGTTGTCTATCTGTCTATTATAGAATATATTGTCTATTAGTCTACTATAGATTATGATGTAAAGTGTCTATTATAGGATATGTTGTGTATGTGTCTATTATAGGATACGTTCTCTGCGTGTCTATAATTGGATATGCTGTCAGTGTCTCTATCATAGTATATGTTGTCCATGTGTCTAAGATAGTAAACGAAGTAAATAAGCCTATTTTAGAATATGTTGTCTATGCATCAATTATTTGGTACGTTCTCTTTATGTTAATTAAAGAATATGATGTCAATGTGTCTATTAATATCATTTTTTGTCTATGTTCCCATAATAGGATATGTTGTCAACGTGTCAATTATAGGATACGTTTTCTATGTGTCTATTACAGGATATGTCGTCTATGTCTCTGTAATAGAATATATTGTCTATGTGTCTATTATACAATATATTGTCTATGTGTCTATTATAGATCATGATGTATATGTGTCTATTAGAGGAAATGTTGTCTATGTGTCTATTAAAGGATACGTAGTCAGTGAGCCTTCTTAGGAGATGTTGTCTATGTGTCTATTATTGGATACGTATTCTATTTGTCTTTTATTGGATATTTTGTCAATGTGTCTATTAGTATTATATTTTGTCTATGTGTCCATTATAGGATATGTTGTTTACGTGTCAATTATAGTATATGTTGTCAATGTGTCTATTATAGAATATATTGTCTCTTTGTCTATTATAGATTATGATATATATTTATCTATTATAGGACATGTCGTCTATGTGTCTATTATAGGATATGTTGTCTATGTGTCTATGAAAGGATACGTACTATACGTATCTATTATTGGGTATACTCTCGGTGTCTCTATCATAGTATATGTTGTCTGTGTGTCTATGATAGGAGATGTAGTCAATGTGCTTATTTTAGGATATGTTGTCTTTGTGTCTATTATACGATATGTTGTCTATGTGCCTATTTTAGGATATGCTATCAATGTGTCAATTATAGGATATGTTGTGTATGTGTCTTTTATAGGATAAGTACTCTACGTGTCTTCTATTAGATATGCTGTCACTTTCTCTATCATAGTATATGTTGTCTATGTGTCTATGATAGGATACGTAGTCAATGTGCCTATATTATTATATGTTGTCTATGTTTCTATTATTGGATACGTACTCAATGTGTCTATTATAGGATATGTTGTCAATGTGTCTATTAATATCATTTTTGTCTATAGGTCTATTATAGATTATGATATATATTTGCTTTTATAGGATATGCTGTCTATGTGTCTATCATAGGATAGGTTGTCTTTGAGGAAACGCAGACAAATCAGTGAGTGTTTATAAAGTAAGAAATTTATCATCTTACCAGTTGTTTTCAGTACTGTTGTTGTAGCTGTCGTTACATCATAATTCATGTCCTCTGATGTAAGATCCAGCAACAATGCTCCTGTCAGATTATTAGGAGTTAAACATCCCGATTCAGACATATCACATTTAAATGTAAGTAAACATTTTACAAATACATATTATGTAGGGATGTTAAATTATTCTTGTATTTCACATACGTTGTTGCAGCTCCCAACATCAATCATATAAATTTGTATTGAATACTTATCTACCTGTAAACTTCAGTTGAGTCCAAATAAAAGCCTATTATAGTATTTGTTGTCTGTGTGTCTTTTAAAGGATATGTTGTCTATGTGTCTTTTATAGAATATATGGTCTATGTGTCTATTATAGATTATGATGCATATGTGTCTATTATAGGACATGTTGTCTATCTGTCTATTATAGAATATATTGTCTATTAGTTTATTATTGATTATGATCTAAAGTGTCTTTTATAGGATATGTTGTCTATGTGTCTATTATTTTCCTCATAAAATAAGTGCATCTATTCTTTAAATTAATAGATGCTATTAATTAATAGTCGCAGCATTTAACTACACATTGTACATACAAAGTTGATAGACCTTTACACGGCATTCAGATATATTACAACAAAACTGAAATATCTCAGATAAAATATAAAGTACATGATTAATAAAACAAATAATAAACAATCATTAATGATTTACTCCTGAACTTTTCTTTCATGAAAGAACTACCAAATCAGTTCTGTTTATTTTTCTGTTTATGGCTAAAAATTCAGATTAACAAAATGAATAAAAGACTAAATCCACTGTTATGCAAGTTGTACCCTTTAAATCTTTTTAGAACAATTTTATTTGAAAAAATAAAACCCAATGTTAATTTTCCGGTATCATTAAACCGTGAACTTCATATGTATATATATATATCAAAACCGGTTTTCAGTTGCATGCACTCGGAGCCCGTGATCGCTGTTGTAAGTAACCTTGATCATATATGAAAGACGGAAAGAAGATTGATATATATTTTTAAGGGGTGTTTCGATGCACACATTTAACAAAGGATTTAAAAAGAAATAGAAAATTTAGCATTTATTCAAACTAATATAAGATTGAAAGTTACAACAAAAAATGAAAGACTGTAATGGCAATTTAATTTAATAGCCCCCCCCCTTCTATACATGTGGTCGTCTTGGCATGCAAATTAAAAATATAATCCATTTTTTTGACAATAATGAACAACAAATTTTATGTATTAAAAGGTATTTATTGACACATCTTTTCAAAACTTTCTTTCACGTTCGTTGAGTGTAAAGACAAGAGCGGAAACCTAATATATTTTTGCTTTAAATTAAAAATAAAATAAACTGTATTTCTTTATTTGAGAAAAAAAAATGTTTAGGAAGCCATGATCGCGTTGATAGTATTGTCTTTCCTGATATACTTTTTTTATCAAATAAAATATACAACATGACTATATATTGAATTCAATGAAATATTTGAACATAGTTGATTAATTTGAACGCATTTTCTTTAGAAGAAAAAAAAAAAAAAACAAACAAAAATATATTATACATTACCGTGTAATTCTTTTGTTGTTGTTCCATTTATTTAACTCCAAAAATATTACATTCATAACTAATTCAACAATTAAAAACTAATACAATTCGACATCCTAACCCATCCAATGCCGTATTTAAAATGAAATGACTTCCGAATGAATCTTACACGATTCTTGCACGAAAGTAACACGTTTCACAAACGGTTCTTACACGAAAGTCGCACGTTTCTCACACGCTTCTCGCACGCTCGCTACACGGTTTGCACGAAACGCTACACGGTTTGCACGAAACGCTGCACGGTTTACACGAAACGCTAAACGGTTTGCACGAAACGCTGCACGGTTTGCACGAAAGGGAAAGCGCACGGAAGTTACACGATTTTTTGGGGTAGTAGTACGTCTCAGGGTCTGTAGATTATGATATATATATGTGTCTATTAGAAGACATGTTGTCTATGTTCCTATTAAAGGATACGTAGTCATTGAGCCTTTTATGGTTATGTTGTCTATGTGCCTATTACTGGATACGTATTCTATGTGTCTATTACTGGATATGTTGTCAATGTGTCTATTAATATTATTTTTTGTCTATGTGTCCATTATAGAACATGTTGTTTATGTGTCAATTATAGGATATGTTGTCAATGTGTCTATTATAGAATATATTGTCTATGTGACTATTATATATATATATATATATATATATATATATATATATATATATATATATATATATATATATATATATATATATATATATATATATATATATATATATATATATATATATATATGTCTATATAGGACATGTTGTCTATTTGTCTTTTATAGAATACGAACTCCACGTGTCTATCATTGGATATACTTCAGTGTCTCTATCATAGTTGATGTTGTCTATGTGTCTATGATAGGATACGTAGTCAATGTACTAATTTTAATATATGTTGTCTATGTGTCTATTATAGGATATGTTGTCTATGTGTCTATTGTAGGATAGGTTGTCTATGAGGAAACGCAGACAAATCAGTGAGAGTTTTTCTAGTAACAAATTAATCATCTTACCTGTTGTTTCTCGTATTGGTGTTGCAGCTGTAGTTACGTCATAATTTATGTCCTCTGAGGTAAGATCCAGCAACAACGCACCTGTCAGATTATTAGGAGTTAAACATCTCGGTTCAGACATATCCCATTATAAATGTAAGTTAACATTTTACAAATACAGATTATAAAGGGAGGTTTATTTATTCTTGTATTTCACGTACTTTATTGCCACTACCAACATCGATCATGTTACTTTTTCTTGAATACCTATCCGACCTCTCAACTTTAGTTGAGTCATAAAAAACCTATTAAAGTATTTGTTTTCTAATTGTCTATTACATGATATGTCGTCTGTATTTTTATAGAATATATTGTCTATGTGTCAATTATAGGATATGTTGTCTATGTGTCTATTATAGAATATATTGTCTATGTGTCAATTATAGAAGATGTTGTCTATGTGTCTATAAGAGGATAAGTAATCTACGTGTTTATTATTGGATATGCTGTCAGTGTCTATGTCATAGGATATGTTGTCTATGTGTCTATGATAGGATACGAAGTCAATGTGCCTATTTAATGATATGTTGTCTATGTGTCTATTATTGGATACCTACTTTATGTGTCAAATATAGGATATGTTGTCTATCTGTCTATAAGAATATTTTGTTTATGTGTCTATTATAAGATATGTTGTCAATGTGTCTATCAATATTATTTTTCGTATACGGGCGCGCTTGATTTGTCTACACCTTACTACTCCCGGTGTAGACGATTAACACCTTATAAGCGAGTGAAATTTGGTGTAGTGTAGAAAATTTAACATGGACGTCAAAATTTCAACAATCTGAGGGGATCCTATTTGCAAACGATTTTTAAATAAAATATTTGTTGCAATTGTAAACATTCTTTTAAAATCAATTTTAAAACAAAACATTTTACAAAATGCAAAGAATATTTTATTAAACAAATTCCTAGCTGCCCATAATTACCCCTATAACTAAATATCTAGCCCTAGTCAAATATATCTAGAGACTTTTTCACCCAAACTTGCAAAATTTGCTTTTTTTTATTTTATAAATTATGAAGCTTTTCATTTTCCATAAAATGCACAAAACATTGACTACTAAATCACTAAAAACAATTCATCACAATGAACCTATCACAAACTTGACAGTTAAACTCAAATACAGAAAAAAAATTCTGCAGTTTCACCGTTTCATCATTTGTCAGCCATATTGAATTTTCGGTGTAATTACCTACATATGCCCTGCACAGGGTGTAGAAGGTGTACACCAAAAGTGTACACTTTTGCACTTGATTATGAAAAGGTGTACACCGGGTGTAAGGTGTAGACAAATGAGCGCGCCCTATATGTCCATTATAGGATATGTTATAAATGTGCCAATTATAGGATATGTTGTCTATGTGTCTATTATAGGTGGGTTGTCTATGTGGAAACACAGAAAAATAAGTGAGAGTTTTTAAGGTATTAGGGGTGTAATGGCCATGACCTCGAATATGACCTAATTAAGCATACATGTAGTTATAATGAACAACACTTTCGGCAATATTTCCCTTAGATTCATGTAATTTTGTCCATACATATTTCTTATGTGCTCATAAATGTAACTGTACCCTCTCGCCAGTGGTGCACCCTTAATAGACAAAGGGTAGAGATGTAATTTTTCTAGTAAGCCAGAGAACAATTTAATGTTTCATGTATTCATCTGTAAAAGTAAGCCCTAGAATTGTAGACATTCAATTTTTTTTAGTTCAGAGTCATCAGATGTGATATATGAATACTTGCAATCGAGAGAACTTGTCTGCTTTCAGTGAAAAGAACTTCGTACTCTAACTCTTGATTCCCGCATACATTTTGCACCCTTTAATTTGAATTTTAATGGCAATTTGGCCATTAAATCTTGGTTTAGTACAAAGAACAGTTCTATGGTAATTGATTAATCATTTTAATTCCAGCTTTAGATAGTAAATGATCATTAATTTCAGCTCTCAAAAAAGGGGTGTAGACGATATTTTCTAGTGAAATCGAACTTTCAAGTATCACTTTATTTTGAAATAGTCTTAAATATGATTAAATATATTTCATATCTTTTCTTATGCTTTACACAAATGAATAAAACATATATAAACTATTAAAATACAATTATTTAGTTGTAAATAGCTTTAAAATTGATGGAAAATCCTCATTTTTCCATTTTTTTGTCTATAAACATATGTTCCCCCCCGTGAAACACAAAAAGTTTTCGCATAAATTTGTGAAATGACAGTCTATATTACCTGTAAAAAGGAATTTTTGTTTCATGGGGGGGGGGAAGATATTTTAAAAATAATTTCCGTTTTCCATTGATTTCTATAGTGAAATACTCAAGTTTTACCATAATCATAGAGTTATCTTTCTTTGGTATCCCCAAAAAGTAACGTTATATGAAAATTCATATAAATATCTATAAA